AGAATACTACAGCCAAAACCCCAAGAAATCAGACAAAATCCTAAGAAAATCGGATTTCAGAAACAGTACAAATATAGTCGTTACAGTGCCCATCAGTCGACTGACGGGAAGCATCAGTCGACTGATGAGCTGAACGTTGTATGTGATTTCTAGCTCATCAGTCGACTGATGATCATTTCAGTCGACTGACGATCTCGTCAGTCGACTAGTCAATCGATCGAAATAGAACAGAGAGCAAAATGATGATTCCAGGCACTTTCATCAGTCGACACATCGGTCGACTGACTTATTCAGTCGACTGGTCAGTCGACTGATAACATGAAATCAGCCTGAATCGGTTTTGAAAATGGATTTCAATGCTCTATAAAAAATAGTAAATAAATTCCAAAAAATGTGAAACTTTGTAAACAATTTGTAAACATTTTGACAAACTTGTTTGAAAAGTAATTTTGCAAAAAGGTCATCGTATTTGTGAAAATTGTTAATTTTGTAAGAGTGTCAAAATACAAGCTTTGAAAATGTGCAAGTGTGTTTATCCCATTAGCTTCAAAAGAAATCTGAACTACTTGCCTACATTCTAGCACTAGAGAGAAAATGAAAACTAGCTAATATCCTCACATAGAATACAATTCTTTGAGTCTTGATATAAGCACTAGAGAGAAAATGAAAACTAGCTAATATCCTCACATAGAATACAATTCTTTGAGTCTTGATATAGCTTGAGTTTGATGAAGCTCTAGCTAATATCCTCACATAGAATACAATTCTTTGAGTCTTGATATAGCTTGAGTTTGATGAAGCTTCTCATAATATTTGGTGTTCTTGAATAAGTGTTGCTTCATCACTATGCCTCCTCCTCCTTTGGATATCATCGTTGTAGCACCTATTTCATCCAATCCTCCATTTCATGGTGCTAATGAATTGTAATCTACATTACAGCTCAATACTTGATTAGCACCAATAATGGTGTTTGTAAATCATCATCAAAATAAAGGACTTAACAACCTATACATCAATGTCATCACATTTTAGGTAAATATAATACATTGGAGGAAAAAATAATTTCATAAAGTTAACATCTAGCAGTGAAAGTTAACAGTAATCTGTGAAACATAACATCCAACTATGAAAGTTGACATATATCAATGAAACGTAACACCCAACGTGTAAGGTTAACATATAGCACAATAAATCAACAACTAACATTGTACCATAAGAGTCTACTACAAAAATTTATATATTTAATAACAAATCTGTAAAGTTTATCATCTTAGTTGATCGTAAGACTCATAATTATCACCATACAACTCCTCTTGTGCTCTTTCTTTATCCCACCATATCTTACTATATTTAATTCTTAATTCATACGGAGTGAGAAACTCCTTTTGCACATCAATTGGGTGGATTTTAGGTCGAACCTTTTAACACAGGTTGCAATTGGGCTGCTATGAATTTGTGAGATGTCCGTGATCGTCCTGACGAGTTAGTATGTTGTCCACAACTGTGTTCATTCACAAACCTCTTGATTTTAATTCTTTTTTTTTATTTTTAACAGGAGAGGCAAACAACATCCAAGGGCATCCATATGTTTCCTTACATTGACAATAAACTCGGATACGTTTGAGTTCATTCTTTACAAACTCACAATCAAACTTTTTCGCCGTAGAATAGTATTTCAAAGTTGCAATTCATTTACACTTTCAAATTGTAGGCCCCTTTCAGTTAATACTGTGTACCACCATTGAGGAATGATGAAAGTGTTGTTGAGAATATCATCAGATCTCATTACATTCTGCCCACACGGGCAATCATTTCGGATCCTCTCTGAATTAGAAGTATTTCCTAGAGGAGGATGATTATATTTTGCATTCAGAGAGGTGTCACTGCTGCACGAATTAATGAACCAGTGACATATCAAATTCTACTATAATATTATTGTTTGCATCGGGAACAATTTTCATTGTAGCTTCCATTAAAACGTTTTAACAGAAACAACTGAATGATGTTTACACGTGTAAATTCCCTCTCTTTACAATGAAACAAAATTTGTGTTCCCTAGAAACACACGTAGAAACTCCTACGTAGTAGCCTCTGCTTGCGTGGGATCTTTGCCTGTGCCGGGGGTGCGTAATCCGTGGAACACCGAATCAACGTTCCAAGCCGGAAATGAAGCAGGCTGAAAGTTGATGTTTCGACGTGGAAACAAGAACTAAAGTGAATATCTTAGCAAAGTAAGATGAACACTCTTCTCGAGATCAAATCTAATTTCGAACTCAAGGAAACACCAAAAGACTTTGAGGATGCTTGAAAGTGGATGAATAACTCTCTCTTGCTCTCAAAGTTCGTCAAATGCTCGTCTTTGCTTCCATATTATCGTCAGTCTCCCTCACAAGTGTGTAAGGGAGGGTATATATACAGCCATTGGAAGCCATAACCGTCGAAAAGAAGCTGAAACAACTGATGATCACTACCTCTTTTGGGCGAGACAGTATTTACTGTCTCGGCTAAAGGAGGTAGTTCCAGCCAGTTTATAACCACCGTCCTACTACTTAAATTACATTAAATGCCGTAATTTTCGTGGGTTGTGGGCATATTTTACGGCTATAACCGTCCATTAACGTTAATGAACGTTTTCCAATAGTTATGGAGCCACGTGGTCCCCGCAAAAAGTTACAAAACCATCAGAAAACTCGAGAGGCTGTCTCGCAGTTAGAGAGACATCTCTCATTGTCTCACCAACTGTGAGACAGCTCCGAGTTCTTTTCTGAGTCGTTTTGTATACTCCTTTGCTTCCTTCTGCATTGGCCAGTCTTCTCTGACTTAGATGATAACGTTCTTCGTCTTCTCTCCGTCTTGAGCTGTGTTTGGAACCTATAGGCAATTTTTAACGCCTATCATTATTCTGATATTTTAAATTAATAGCTTCTTGTATAAGTTAACAGGTAACTGTGAACGTTAACTGACTAGAAGGAAAGTTAATAGGTTTTCGTAAAACTTAACATAAAGTAGTGAAAGTTAACATACAATAGGAAAAGTTAACAGACTAGAAGGAAAGTTAACACCTTCAGTTAAAAGTTAACGTGTTACCGTGAAAATCAACAGAAAACCCTAAAAGTTAACATGTTCTGATAAAAGTTAACAGATAGTTGTGAAACTTAACACACAACAGGAAGAATTAACATGTAACCATTAAAGTTAATAATTATGATTCGTCTGTGCTATGAAACCTAAAATCACAAAGCCTACATCATATAAAACCCAATTTTAAAAAGAGTTTATTGATTACTTATATTTCATTTAAAACTTTCTCATTTTTTTCAGAAGTAGAACAATCTACATTGGCAACAACTTGCATATATATGAATCTCCATACAACCAATATTTCGATTATGCTCCACCATAAACTTCAAATCATCTTTATCATTAATTGAGAAACTCAGATTCGGGTACCTCTCAGATTTATATATCAATGATAAAGCATCTTGAGGTACTTTTAGTCTTTGAGACACATTAATTTCAGTTAAAAAAAGCTTGTTGTAGAACTTAGCATTGAGAACATAGCCTTCTAGCCTAACGACACCATGCAAATCAAGTCTTTGGTGGCCATAGAGGATTGTTGAAAGTTATGAGGGTAGTTATGATGAGTAATTGATGGAATTTTTAGGACATAAGGGGTTGTTGAAAGTTGAAGAACAAAACCCTAATACCATAAATGAGAACGTGAGAGATTAAACAAGAAAATAGACAATATATGACGACTTAGATCAGTAATTGAGGGAAGCCGTGCATTTTTCCCTCCATTTTTGCCGTCGCCTCACATTAATTGCGATAGCTTCTTCCACTGGCTAGTATGGGTTTCCACGGGGAGCTGCTGGGAGAGAAGAGGGTATTTTCGAAAGACCGGCTCAAATACAACCCATACATGTATAATAATGGGCTTTTAGGGCTGGGTCACACTATTTCCGGTCTTTTTGGGCACATGGGGAAAACTTTATAGTGTCGGACCATGTGAGATTGTTTATTTTGGGGCATTGACACATTTTTTTTCCTTTTATTTTTTACCATCCTTATTTGGTAAGGATTTTTGTTCAGATTTTAGAAAACTTAGAGATAATTTTGTACAAAAGCCCTCAAAGATCATAGGATATTTTGAAATGTAGTCTTTTTCTAAAGGGTTTTTATCCATATTCTTCCATCTCTTTCTTATTTGTGGATTTAACCTCAAATCTAAATAATTGCTAATTTATTCTTGTTTCACATCGAGTTAAAAATACACCTTTTACATTACCTAGGCACGATAAAAATTATACCATGTTTTATTATTAACTCCTATGAGTTTTTACAGTGTTAGATTAAATGATAATGAAAGTTTGATGTGGGAGAATATGGGGGAAAATTAGCAGAAATGCAGATTTGGGAGGTCCCTCTGCAAATAGAATGAACTATGGGGTTATAGAGCCAAAAACCCCTTTTAAAATTCCTCTCTCACAAATTTCATTTTAGCCCCATTTTCTTACACCCCCTCACATTCTTAGCCTGGCGATCGGATCAACGCGAGGCATCCTCTCCTGGAACTGGCATTCCCCCAGAAATCAAACCCTAAATTTGAACCCTAAAAAAAAAAAAAAAGTCCCAGAAGCCTTGGTTTGAACTCATAAACGATTCTGGCTCACTCCCGGCAAAAAACCCTAGCGACAACCCAATCTTCGGACCTCATCACATCCCATGTAAGTCATCAATTTATGTGGATTTAGTTTATCGCGTTTCATTTTTTTTTTTGGGGTTCAATCCTATTTTTGTACAAATCATTTGCTTCTAACGTTTGCTCCCAATTATTTTTGACTAGTGTTTGAAATGCTTGAGCTGGAAACTTGCTGGAATCTAATCCTTGTTGGGACATTCTGGGTTTTGAAATTAAGCTGTGAAAATGTCATAATCAAACTTGATTTGGATTCTAAATGAACATCTTTAGCAGACTAGCGAGAGTGTAAGGGTCCAAGTAGTCCCAGATTGATTAAATGGGGATAAATTATGGATTTGTAAGGGATTTGGGTTCCCTCCGTTAACTGCTAGTTTTCAGGGGTGAGTTCTTCTATGGCTCTTTACCCGATGACGACGCTGGTATTGTAGCATTTGTGTGGGTCTGGTATTTGCAAAGCCAAAGAAGGCTAGTCGGGACTAGATTAGCCCCGAGCCAGCTCATGTTGGCGACAGACTGCTGCAGAGGTTGGTGGTATTTTTAGGTGGGTCTAGTCTTAAGTGTAAAGCCAAATGGGCTAATCGGGATTAAATTAGCATGGGGTCAGCTCGTGTGCGGATCGGACTGCGGAAGCTTTGTGGTATTTTTAGGTGTGTCTAGTCTTAAGTGCAAAGCCAAATGGGCTAATCGGGACTAAATTAGTATAGAGCCAGCTCGTGTGGGCGTTGGACTGCAGAATCTTGGTGCTGTTTTTAGGTCCATTAGTCTCACATGGATTAATTGGGGAGTCAATTGTGGGTTTCGAAGGGATTTTGGGTTCCCTCTCTTAATAACTTCGTCACTCCCTCATTTTCCTGATACTATCAAACTGGAAAAAGGAGAAGGAGAAAAGAAAGAAAATACATCATTTGTCGTTGTTGCTCCTCCATCTAGAACTGCGCTCTTTGACACTTTTTGCCTTCCTTTAAATATGTTGAAATCAACTGCTTAATGAAGCAAACTTGATGCCTTGATTTTAGGGAAATAATTCTTTACTTGTACTATTTAAGCACATGTAAATGAAGCCAGATGAGAGACTAAATCTCAGTTCAAAATTTTGTCATGTTATCATACATGATAAGCAAACGTAACAATTCTTAATAACCAAAGGCAATAACTAATATGCGAATCCACCCCCACCCCACTGTCACGACTTATCCCTCCTTGAAAGATGCTTAATGCTTTTCCTCATTGTCTTCTGTTTTCAGGTGATTATATACATGGACTAAATTTCTACTTGTGTATAACAAGCCGGAGATTGATCAAAATGCCACGTTATCCTGACATAGGGTGGGAGCATGGTAAAATGGTTGGGGGACAAAGACACCATGTGCAATGTAATTACTGCCACCGAACCATGATTGGGGGTATAACTCGCTTCAAGAAACACTTAGCAAGCAAAAGTGGGGAAATCAAGGGGTGTGAGGCTGTGCCAAAAGAAGTAAAGGAGACAATAAGGAACCATTTAGCCGCATTAAAACCAAAGTCAATGGAAAAGAAGAAAAGAAGGAAGGTGTATGTTGTAAAGCCTCTTACTCATCAAAACATGGACTCAGAGGGATCGGATACATATGTGACAAATGCTAAACATGAATTGCTAGCCTCTTACGAAGAGGAAGCTCACTGTGCGTATTTTATTTATTTTCTTGTTCTTCTTTTACTCATTGGAATCTTTACCTTTTAACATCTAACTTGATCCTCTACTTTGAAAGGAAAATAAGTTAGTTGCTATTTTTTACTTACAACAAAGATTGTTAAGTAGCCATGGGCTTATACAAATAATTTCATAACATATGTTATTTCTTTAAATGCTGATGTTAAGAATTTTGTAATGAATCCTCAAAAGCATTTTTGCTATCAATGCAGACTGACTTGATAATCTTGGTATGTAATTATCTCCATCCAATGAAGATTTAATCGTTTAATGTGATTTTTTCAACATAATTTTAGAATCATGTTATTGCATATGCTCCCCCAACAAGCGATCCACAGTTTTGTTATGCCTAAATTATCACTATGCATTTATAACTCCAAAGGCCTTGAGTCTAGCTTCTGATTTTTTGCCTTTATCTCCATTACACACATAATTATGTAATACTTTTTCCATTTATTTTACCTTTGATTATTTCCTACTTCTTTGATATGCTGCTTCAAGATCAGCTGATAAACAAATTTCCACTGTCGCAAAGGAGTTCTTGGATGCTTTCTCAAGTGATTTGTCCAAGGACGAGCAAGTAGGTAGCTGATATTATTCACGTGTTGCTTATTTCTTTCCATTGCAAATAATTATTTTGAGCTATTATGCAGAGTCCTCAAAGAAAACTTTTATATTTCATGAATCCATATCTTGTGATTGTTTGCTACTCCCTTATGTGTTTGTCTTTCTCTGTGTATTTTACTATTTCAAAAGGGATCAGCTCCCCCAAGAGCTACTGATGTGGGGTGGGCCCACGGTATAATGGTAAATGGGGACCGACAAAAGATAAAGTGCAGATATTGTTCGAAGGTAATATTAGGAGGTGGAATCTCACGCCTTAAACAACATTTGGCTGGAGAAAGGGGAAATATAGCCCCATGTGAGAAAGTGCCTGATGATGTTAAATCACAAATTCAACAACACATGGGTTTTAAAGTTCTGGAGAAACTTAAAAGGCAGAAAGAATCAGAAAGTTTAAAAAATTTTGGCCAACATTTCAATGAAGAAGATTACGATGGTGAGTTCCATAACGAAACTTCTACAAGGGGAATTTTTTGTAAGAGAAGAGGAAGGGAGGTGGAAAATGTAAAGTCTCACAAAAGAACAGAGAAGTTCTTTGCTTCCCAGGTTTCACAGGCAGCACAGTCGGCATTGCATTCTACTTTTGCTTCACAAGAGAGCATAGACCAAGCTGATATTGCTGTTGCAAAATTTTTGTATGATGCTGGAATACCATTAAATGCAGCTAATTCTTACTATTTCCAAAAAATGGCTGATGCGATTGCAGCAGTTGGTCCTGGATATAAAATGCCTTCTTACCATTCTTTGCGTGCTAAACTGTTGAACAAATGTGGTCATGAAGTAGGTCAAGTCTGTAAAGAGATTCGAAAATCATGGGAAGCAACAGGTTGTACTGTCATGGTTGACAGGTGGGTGGATAGGAACAGTCAGGTGGTGCTTAATTTCCTTGTTTATTGTCCAAAAGGAACCATGCTCATCAGATCAGTAGATGCATCTGACATTGATCTTTATGGGGAAGGTCTTTTGAGTTTATTTGATAGCATTATCCAAGAGGTCGGGCTTGGAAATGTTGTGAATTTTATTACTGATACTACACCGTCTCATAAAGTTGCAGGAAATGCATTAATGAACAAGTACAAGACCTTTATCTGGAGCACCTGTGCAAACCATGGCATTGAGTTAATTCTCAAGGAGTTATGCAATTTGAATGAAGTGAAAGAAGTTTTGGCACAGGCAAAGAGGATTTGCCAGTTTATATATAACAATGCATGGGTGCTTAATTTGATGAGGAAGAAAACTGAAGGAAGAGATATATTTCAGCCTGCCATGACAGAATTTGTTACAAAATTTTTAACATTAGACAACATGATATCTGTCAAAGACTCGCTCCATCAGATGTTCACAAGTACTTTGTGGGAGCAGTCAACTTTCTCGAAACAAAGTGCTGGAGAGGATGTCACAGAAATTGTGCTAAATCCACAGTTTTGGTCTTCATGTATGAGAGTCGTGAAGGTATCAAAACCTCTTGTTACAGTTTTACACCAAATAGATAGTGAAGATAGGCCATCAGTGGGGTATTTTTACAATGCTATGGAGAAGGCAAAGAAAAGTATCATGTTAGCATTTAATAACAATGAAACAGATTATCTTCCATACTTGGAAATTATTCAAAATGCGCGAAGTGAATTCCATAGCCCACTGCACGCTGCTGCTTGTTACCTTAACCCATCCATATATTACGGTCCCAGCTTTTCCATTAACAGTGTTATTCATAAAGGTCTCCTTGATTGCGTAGAGATATTAGAGCCTAACTTGAAAGCCCAAGATAACATTACAAGGCACAAAGCATGCTATGAGGAAGCTGTTGGCGACTTCAGTAGACCAGTGGCAATAAGGGGTAGGGAAACACTATCTCCAGGTCAGTTTTATTCTTATTTTCTGTTTGTTTCTGGCATAATCAAGCTTTCCTGCTGCTTATTGCTTT